AACCGTCCAGTCGGTATTTGTCCCGCAGTTTTCCTTAAGACAGAGTCACGTCTATGGACTGATCTCGAGTGTATCTTTGTAGTTTGCTACCCTACCGTGTTCACACCAGCGAGGTTTCTGCCTAGCACCATGTCTGTGACAAGAGACCCCCTTTCTGTCGCTTCTCAATGACTCCCCCATTCAGGATTCGCGTTGAAGCCCCGGCTATTAGACTTCTCCAGGTACGTTTTATGAAGTCATCCTTCTAGTGTGCACTTTCCTGTTTGTCGAAGTATGGAAAGGTCATTCCGGGGAAGTATCAGCTATAAAATTCGAGGACCCTTACTTCGATCCATACAAAGCCCTTGTTCTTTTCTTCCACCCTTCGGAATTTTCAGATTCTGGTTGGACGAAATGCTAGAGAGCTGATTTTGCGCTGATAGATCCTGGGTTTTTACCCCCCCCGATTGTTTCCTGAGACTGGCTTCCTGTATGTTCCGATATAATGGCCTCATATCGATTTCTTTTTCCTCTACCGTTTTGCAGGAGTATGTCTTGTGGCCTGCCTGCCTTTTCCCCTAGGTTTATTTGCATTAATTTTAGCTCCATTCGTTTCTTTTGCTTAGTTAGCGCATTATGAAACGACGTGCAAAATTTACTGCCGGGCGATGTGGTGTTGAACATTCTGTCCTTGGCAGCATAGGCACGGGCAGTCTCCGCCTCTAGTACACGTCTTTCATGGCATGTCACCTACCCACAGTATCCAACTCAGAGCTTTCTCCCTGTCGGTGGCCGCTTGCGACCGCTTGGCGACCATGCCCATATGCGTGACACCGTTCAGCATCTGATCCACGCTCCTTCCGCACAGTGAATGATTACTAACACCAATATCTACTGCTATTTTTCTTTTTCTGGAGACTCTGCTCAATTCTCCGCATTGTAGTATTGCCGACTGTACGCGCCGGCGTTACCCTTGTCCTGAGGTAGCGGCCATTCTCCAGGATCTGATTCTCTCTCGCGTTTTTCGGGATGGCCTTCCCTCAACGTCTCTTCGGCTGAACTCCATTTACTCCAATGACATCGTCGACTGCTTAGTTTAGGACCCTACGTCCCTCTCTTCCGATTATCCCTATGATGGATATATCTCCGTTTCGAAACCTTTCTCACGTGGAATTCTTCGTTTCCTTGCTCGTCTAAGAGACGAATATTCGCCCTCTTCTTGTTTCCTCACCATCTTAAGCAGCCCACCTCTTGCGGTTTCATTTTTCTGCTGATTTCTTTAAAGACTGTTCAACGCTATGACCGTACCCGATTTAGCTGCAACTCTTCAAGCGCTCATTTTTTACCTTCTCTTTTCTTCTTTTTTTGTTTCCTTTCTGACTTCTTGCCAGCCTTTTCCTTGCTGCTTTCCAAGAGGGCAGATGTTCATTTCTTCGCTTGTTCCGTGTGCACTGGGTTCATCTACTTCCCTTGTGCCGGGATTCGGAAGGTTCCCTTTCTCTGCCTCCTCTCCGAGGTGACTTTTTTTTCCTCTTTGGCCATGCTTGCGTTTTCTTTTTAAGCGACAGGTTTCTTTCTATTTCCTATGCCTTATATGCGTCTCCCGCTGCACCACCTCAGTTCTCGAAAACTGATCCGTTTCTATAATCGCACTGCTCTTATCCGTTCAGATTTCGAATAGTCATGGCCCTCATTTACGTGCCGCTTTCACGGCCTTATGGGAATTGCGCGCGTCGGCAGACATAGAAGCATTTGAACGCAAGTCTTTTCCCTCATTTCGACGATGCTCCCCCATTCCCTCTAAGAAGGTCAGTCTGTTCGACAGAGATCTTATGGGCTGGCATTCCTCCCCCGCTATTGCATTAACCTGAGCGTTCAGCCGGGCGGCTACAGCTCGAGGTCCCTGTCCCTTCTCGGCACTATCTATCTATGCTATCTATCTATCTCTCATTCTCTCTATCGCCTAGTCTCTCTATCTCTCTATTCTCTCTCTCTCTCTCTCTCTCGCTCTCACTCTCTCTCTCTGTCTCTCACTCTCTCTCGTCTCTCTCTCTCTCTCTCTCTCTCTCTCTCTCTCTCTCTTCTCTCTTCTATAATATTATTATATATATATATATATATAAATATATATATATATATATAATATATATATATATATATTATATATCAATATTAGTATCATATATATATATATAATATATATATATATATATATATATATATAATTGCTCTCGTGGCGCCAGAGTTTGCGGGCAGCCTCGTTTGTGCCGCGGAGGCTCAGTTCGAGTCCTGCGTAGACATGGTCATATTTGTGATTGTCCCTTCACCTATCATCCTTTCATCTCATAATTCACACTTCAAGGCGTAAGAACCTTGTTGTAATCCAAGCTGAAATAAACAGCTGAAAAAGCTGATCCTGGAAGAATTACGCACGTTAATCGTGTAGCGTAGTCAGTAATTGCCTATACGCTAATTATTTATTTATATATATATATATAAATATATATATAATAAATATACATAAATAATATATTATATATAAACAAAATCTAAATCGTGATGTCTCAAAACAGAGCTGAATATAAAATGTATTCCTGATTGCAACCAGCAACCTACGGAACAGATCTAGTGACTCGGTGCCTCTACAATACTTTGCGCAAAATGTGGGTTGTTCCAAATAAAGAAATTCCTTTGCAGTTCACAGTCTTTTGAATGGCCCGATTTTAGACAAATCCCAAAGCTCACATGTCTATCGGTACGACCCGTGCTTTTACGCTCCATATTCGGCTGATCTCGATTTCCAAACACTTGTATTTAAAACGCTTTTCTTCCTGCGACGTTTCGATCGCAAGACAAAACAACATCTATAAATCGACACGATTTTTCTCCAAATCCCGGATAACAATATCCTGTTTGTTTGCTACTAGCATGCGATCCATTAGAATTGGTTGGTCGATCACTATTGTATAGAGTTCAACTGATTGCTCAGATTTTGATGAGAGTTCGTACCACTTAGGGCATGTTTTTAGAACTTAGAGAGCGGTCATTGCAGATCTGCCGGTGGAAGAAACTACACACCCTGTCGTGTCTTTTCAAGTATTTGGTCTTTGCTAGAATTGGACAAGCTGAGACGATATGATTAATGGTTTCTACTTGTTCCTGGCAGATGCGGCAATTATCATCTTGGGAAATTTTGAGAACCGCTTTAGCATAATGTGTTCTCAACGCCTGATCGTCCTTCCAATTAGAACTCCTTCCGATTCTGGGTCCTTTTTCCCCATTTAAGCCATATGAATGATTGATCTTTATTGATCTGCACCTTGTCCATTCTTTTTAGATATTGTCCATGGGGTGGTTTGTCTCTCCACGATTTCTTAAACATTTTTTGTGTCTCATATTTCATGTTTAGTAGCATCAGAAGTTCAGTGTCTGTATTATTATGTGTGTCTTGCATAGTTTTCTTTGCAATGCTTCTTGCTACACTAAGAATGCCTGTTTCCCATTCTTCGGTCAGATTTCATGACCTGCCTCATTAGAAGGTCATCTTCATACTACATACTTTCCCATCCCGACTATTGGATTGTGCCAGAAGGCTTCAGTTTGTCTGAGGCCTCTTTCTCCTTCCTTACGTGACAAGTAAAGTCTATATACATCAGCTCGTGGATGAGCGACATGATGTATTGTTAGCAGTTTTCCGATCCATGATTCGAATTTCTTGCTCAGCCCAGTTCACTAGTCCGAATCCGTACTCGATTACAGGTACCGCCAAACTACCAACTGCATATATTTTATTCCTGGAGTTCAGGGCGGACTGCAGGACAAGTCTCACTGTTCTGTAATACTCCCTACGATTCTTTCTTTCGTTGTGTCGTTCGCGATGGTCTCACATACTTCAATGCCCAGATATTTGTAAATTTTACTTGGCTCAAGATCTTGAATCACAGTGTGCATGTCAACTTCAATGCTCTCTGACGTTATCACTTTGCCTCTCTTTAAATTCATTTTTGCATACTTGTCTAGACCAAATTTCATGCAGATGTCATTGCTAAATTCATCCACGATAAACAGCATTTGGAAGAGAATCGCTTAATTCTTAGCAATTATTCCATTATTATTATTATTATTATTATTATTATTATTATTATTATTATTATTACTATTATTATTATTATCATCATTATCATCATCATCATCATCATCATTGACAAATCAATATATGTTACGATTCTTCAATATTTAAGCTGATTGATAAGAACAATTTGTTCAAACAAGAGCCTTCATACTCTGAGCTATCGTTGAAGCCACAACACTAAAATTCTTGCTTAAGTGTCTTCTTTAATATTACATTTATGGGAGCGATTGCTGAATTATTTCTTAAAATTAAACTTGTTAGCAACACGCAAAGCATTTCGAATTTCTGTTCCTTCTGATGGGGCTAGTGGCCAGATTGTATTCAGGACTATTACGTTTATAAATAACAGCAATGACAAAAGCAGGAGTCTCTTCGAGGGAGCAATCGGTCTTCGGAAAATTCCTCTCTGTACTTGTTAGCAGCAGCACCTGCACTAAGCATGACCAAAAGATAGCCCGTGGCCCTGAAAGTCAAGAGGCCTGAAAATGGGATCAGGAAAAGAGTAAAAAATAGAAAATAGTTAGGATATTAAAAAATTGAAATGGATCAGCAATAGCTGGATCCATTGTACAAAACAGAACTGAAGCACTACACAGTGTTGCACCGTGAGACCAGGGTAGAGAACGTGCCCTGAGTTGAATGTTCGTCTTTCAACTTTACGTATGCAAGTACATTTATGAGACGCGCAGAAAAGACGCATGAAGTGGACGCGCCTTTAGACGCCTCCTGATTCAGCCGCGTTTCGTAGCAATCGTTCTGTAAAACATTTACCTCAAAATACGTGGATAACCGTGTCCCCGGCCTCGGGTGGTTGTTTGAAAATGACATAAGTACTTTGAGCCACCGCGTAGGGGCCGCAGGTGGCGGTATCGATCGGCGAAGCAGGGCTAGAAACCTTTACGCAACACGCGCGGAGGGTGCGATGCGATCGCCGGCCGAGCGCTGGTAGTGCCTTACTTGGCCGCAGGCTGTCGCGGGGAGCAGGCGCGTGACGTGGATTCTCTCGTTCCCCAGGCATTCGCCGACAATGGCTGCTACCGCTGACCTCGTGAAAGTCAACAGCCCGAATGTCACGTATTCAGACGAATACATCGAGGCCATATACGACTACCAGACCACTCGCGTTGAAGAGGTCAATGGCACGTACTTGGTGAGTACGGACTCTCATACATGGATTACAGTAAACTCTCGTTGTGGGACGTGCTCGCTTCACTCAAATTTTGTCCTCGAACAAAATGTTGGTACTGGCATTGCACATGTAATAAAATCCTCGTAAATACGAATTCCAAAGGACCGAAATAATCAGTGGTCGTGCTATAAAAATTCGTTTTATCTGAGCACAGCCGTACATAGTATAGTATAGCCGTATAACTATTTCCTCGGTGGTAACCAAATTGGGTTTGTGTTACGGCGAAATTTGTGTTCAGCGAGTACTTGCTAATGAGAGTTTACAATGTATAGTAATTGGTTAACACGAATTTTAATACACGAATACCGACTATTCCGGGCCTTTGGATACCGTATTGTCGGGAGTTTTCTGTATTTTCTTATGTGCGCTTCTTTTTTATCAAAAGGTTTACGCTAATTAATTAATACACCTTAAACGTTCATATTAGTTCTTTCATTTCATTTTGTAATAACTTTCCCGCTGGGTCCTCTCGTACGAACTTTATCTCTACTTTCGTCCGGAAATGTGACTAGCACTAAGATAAGTGCTGCCTCACGCGCGAAGGAAATAATGGCACAGGTTTGGGGGACGGTGAGTCAGCTGTTCCGACAGGAGATTACTGGGGAAGGTCAGTGGCAGGCCTAGGACACGAGTCGATATTGCACTCGTCTTGGTCCTTTCCTTGTGAAGGGCGGGCCGTGCCTCGCCGCCCTGCACCGCACCGCACTGCGTCGCGCCGCTCCGCTCCTCGCTGTCTAGCGGGAAGTGGCTCTTGTTTTTTCCTTCTGTGCTAAGCGGCGGCCTCCCACGTTTAGGCCTCGCGTACCAAGATGCAGTTTACTACCACTCCCTAATTACGATGATGTGACTTGGCTAGTCAGTGTTGAATACAGATCCAAATCTCTCTGCGGATGTCATGTAAAAATTATAACATTGATAAATGTTTTTGAACAATGTTTTGAAATTGGCATCTCAGATACGATTGATATGCATTTAAAATAAATGTGTGGAATTCGCTATTACTTAAAATAATATCTTTATTCGAATTGTAGCATGTTATAACTTCAAATTTAAGGACTCTTTCTACATAGTACCTGTGAATGTCTTATTTACTGAAAGTGTGTGTGGGTTACTCATCCCCTATGGTTGACACTTTCTCTGAAGCTTCAGGAGTATCATGACTAGACAAGATTTCCATACAAACGCATGTTTTTTTTATTTAATGTTCTTATAGATTTCAAACTGTAAATGTTTCATGAAAAAACAGCGTTTAAAAATGCAAACTTTTTCCGTGCATATTTTGGAAGGTTTTGGAGAAATTCATGCATAAAGCATGTTGAACGGTTTTTAATTGATACTGCATATTTAGACTTCCATCTAATGTATTAAGTACTTAATTATTATGGCTCTGCATAATTTGTGAATATTAAAACTGATACGTATTTTGTATAAATAGTATGATGATCTGAGATCTTGATAGCACGCAGTTGTCTTTGTTGCTTATTGTTGTACCTCACATTGTAACCTTCAGGTACACTACTTGGCTTTGTGACGCAAGTACACGTTCGGGCAGCAACGATTTCGAAATGAATTATCAACGCCATACGATTCGTCGCAAAGGATACGGAAGATAGACGACGCCAAAACTCAATATACTTCATAACTGACAATAGGAGAGGAAAATAATCAAGGGCAGGCTCTCAGTCGGCTTGCGTGCAATAGAGAATTAACTTAAGTTTCTTAATTGTAAAGTTAAGTATGAAATGGTTTCTTCTAAGGTTTCCTGTGCAACATTACCCAAACATAAGTTGGGAAACAATGACGTCTGGAAGATAGACGTAAATGCAATTTATTGCGAATGCTATAATAAGGAAATAAGTAAGGTACACTGAATTAATGAATTACAAAACATATCTATTGCTGAAAATTAATCAATTACAAAACATATCTATTGCTGGTGTTTTCTAGTCGAAATGTTTAGTGCTCTAGTCTAATGTTGCTGCAGAAATTATATAATTTCAAGTACTGAGACTCGGAAAAGGATAAAACAATGTCGATGAAATAGATATGAAATGGAAAAACACATCTTTAATTTTAATTGAAGTGAAAATAATTGTTTTCGGGGTACTATTAATAATTTTTAAGAAATTTTGAGAACTTTGAGGTTAAAAAAATTGTTTTGTAGAAACTATTTGGCGCATTGATTCTAAATAATTATTTTATGTGGTAGTATTCATCTTTTTTCCAAACATTTTTCTAGAGATTTAGAATTTACCTCTTTTTAATGTTACTGAAAAAATTGTAAATTGTGGAGTATTTCATATTTTTTCTTTCAATTTCCTTTGAAGTACTAGTAGCTTCGTTGGGTCTCTAAAAATAATAATTTTACCCACAAGAGAAAGCAGTATGCTCTAAATGTGATTTCTACGACCAAATCTCAAATTCGAGCGTATATAATTTCTGCCGGGATAGTTTGAAGAATGTTTAGCTAAATACATTTTAGTAAAGCACGCTGACTTATTAAATCTGATATTAATTTGTTTCAAAATGTTAATAAAATGTAATTCAAAACATAGAAATTGGTAGTAAAATTCTAATACTCTTTTTAAGAAATGTAGCTCTGTATAATTTGAATTATTTATGAGGATTAAATGTTCTAAAAAGTTTCAAGTGGGACAGCAGCTTGCATCTACTTCCCATACTATCAAAGCTAGAGAAACGAAAGAAACTGTCACCCATAGTGCAAACATTTGTTATTGAGGAAACATTGAAGCTAAATCCATTTTTAATGGAACTGTATGTGGCTTTTGAAGGGACAAAAATAGCGTTCGAAAAAGTAGCAAGCTCAACGTTTAAAGGATTTCTAGAGAAATGTACAGGACAGGACATCCCGTCCGTTTCCAGTATTGAACGAATTACATTAAAAAATTTCAAGTAAAATAGCCTTGTCTAAACATTTGTTAAAATTACAATATGTGGTTTAATAATTATTGTTGATATCTGAAATCAAATCTAAACGATCCTTGTAAATATCTGAAAGAGAATGTAGTAATTTCACATCGTTTCATCAATTGTGTGTGACTAGAAACTATCAAAAGCTCTTATTTTCTTTAGTTTTCCTTGAATATTTTACAGAAAACCGTCTAAGAAGTGTGCAAATTGTTGTCTTGTTGAGAGGAATCAAATGAGCTACTATCACATCTGTAGGCGCCGGAAGTCACCCAAACGCGTTTGAGGTAAAAAGAAAAAGTTTTCTTCTTTTTATTTTTTATTTTTGAGAAAATTCTGAGAATTTTATTGGACGGATGCATAAATTAATGGCCATTTCCCCTTCAGTTGGCCGAGACGGTTTTGAGACCCTGGTTTGGTGTCATTATTTTAACATTTTCTTACAGATGTGAATTTACTATGAAGTTTTACTGATGAGTATTAATAATATGAAGTATACGACTCAAAAGTTAATATTTTCTAAATTCAAATGTTACTAAGAATAAAATAGACATTTAATTTAACTACGATTATGCATATTTAAACTTGACTCGCTAGATTAATCGGGATTAAATTCAACCTGATTTCAAAATTACATTTCTTCTAAAGTGAACTTCGATGAAATTGACATTTAACGCTGCCAATTTCTGGTGTTGCCTACTGGAAACATGGCGGCAGCCCTTTCCGAAAGCTTCAAATATGGCACTCACATTGCCACTCTATAAATTTCTACCTCGTTTGGAATTTTCCACCCTTCCCATTGTCAAGGTCACCTGCCGATAGTCATATCGCGAAGTCACCTTGCTCATGGGAGGATTACGAGTAACAGTGGGTACGCCCTCTCACTGTCTTTTATTGGAAACGTAATTGACGGGTAGAGACAGTATAGTGGATTTAGACATGTGGATTTTACGTTTATTCACTCACAAAAACTGTGTGTGTGTGTGTGGGGGGGGGTCTGGTAAGTGTATTTTGAAATGATTCGTATTCATTTCCCCAACGTAGACAAACTTGTGGTCGGGCTGTTGTCGCCCTATTTTGCATCTTTCTGCCAATTAGGGAATGTTCACATGCAAATAGTTTATCTCCTCAGTTGAAATTGGTCAAGAAAAGTGCACTTTTCGATTTTTTGTGCCTTTTTGAATATTACAAAACGCAAAATTATTTGATTGAAAGTTAGTTTATTAGGAGTTGAATTAAAATCGTGATGAGAGTAATATTCTGTGATTTTCAGTAGTCTATTTACGTCGTCTGTTTACATACGCACATACATACTCGCTTTACCGGCTGAAAGCACATAGACAAACTACTAATTTCATGTAGATGTTCTTAATTGCTTTCATTTTTGCAATGTTTAGTAGAAACATTTAATTGCCTTATTTCTTTCGTTTTTGTAAGAATTTCTAAGAAATAATTAGATATTGTTATGCCTATACTATCAAACGTTTGCTTACATAAAGACCTAGCTACCCACAATTTTTATAAACATAAGCACCTAGCAACGTTTATCCCCGTAAGAGGGAAACAGAGGTTCTCATGTTAACCCAAGCGTCACGAGTGCCTGCAATAAGCAACTGTGTGTAAAAACTATGATAAATATCTTAGGAGAGCAAACTTGCAAAACATATAACTTTTAGTGAAGATAACTCTTTATTCAGTTTCTTTATTCAGTAACACCTTGTAGTGGGAAATTGAGATTGATACTCACAGCCAAAAAATGTACACTCGCTCCTAAAGATGTGGACTATTTTGAAAAGCGTTGGCATAGCCAAAATGCAGGATGGGTGTTACTTTGCCGAACTGACATCACACCATCTGATTCTACTCTTCCTTTTAGCTTTAAAAGACAATTTTCCGTTCTCGTAGCGTTTTACATGACTTCAACAAGGGTCGGAGACAAACATTTGACTCTATTTGCTTAAACCTGTTTTAGTCATGCTCAACTGTATGTGGCAATGTCCAGGGCACGTTCCTTTGAAAAAATTAAAATTCAAGTATTACCACAAGGAAAATGAACAATGAACATACTCGTAGTGTATAAGGAAGTGTAATAATTACTAAAATACTGTAAAAATTGTGTTTTTAAAACCTGTATTCCATAATAAGTTTGCGTCATTTTCATGGTCCTGGAAAGTAACGCTAAAGCCCATTGAGTCTAATCAGTGGAGTCATTAGAGGTGAGTGTTAATTTATCAAATATAATTGATTTTGTTTTTTACAATTGAATAGTCTTGTACTTGTTTTTGTCTTTACTCTTCGAACAGGTTCCTTAAAAATTGTAGACAAGTTTTAAAATATTTTACTTCGAATCTACTGAATGGGTTGGAGGGAAATATTTACTTGATATGCAATAAAAGATTTACACAAACTTCTGTCCAAAATTAAGGAACCGGTTCTAAGAGTAAAGATATTTGATTTTGTGGTGCTGCATAATATCCAATCAACTTACCTGTAAAAGTGAACATCTGCAGAGATGCAAAATTAAGTATTATAGAAGAAACGTGGGCTCTTTTTTCATTCTAATAAAAATAGTGCTATGTTAACATTTGTCTGTGCACAGTATTTTACGTTTATCTCGGATCTCACCGTCAAATTATGATGGGTTCCCACTAGTTATAGGATAAAATTGAATCGGAAAAGAATTTATTTTATGAAACAATTGATGACAAGATGTTCAAACCTTACCATGCACCACATAATTGCACTCAAAATGGATCATCTTGAAGAGCAAAGACCAACCCCCCATTTGATTCAGTTTTTGATATGATTAGTTTACAATATGTGTCTTTCAATTTCATTAATTTTTGTCGTTCAAGCCAGTTGTATCGAAGCTCGAAGATTGCTTTAAGATCGTTAAATTGTCATTATATCCTTTTTTTGTTACTTAGCTCAGTCGATAAAGCATGTCTGCATAACAGCTTGTTCCGCGTTCGCTGCCAGATAAGATCAAGATTTTTAACTTCCTGGGAATCCTTTTTCGGATTCCAATTATGGTTATGTTTTAGAGAACAATGCATTTGAGGGATATATTTAGAATTGCTACTCGTCCTATTCTTGTCTTTACTCTTTCTTTATTCTTCTTGTCTTTATTCGGTCAGAGTATTCTTGCAAAATTTGGAATTAGTCGCTCCAGTGGCTCTGAAGTTGCCACATTAGATATTGGGCTGATATCTAGTTTGACGCAAGACATAGATAGCGTCCAGGTATTTTGCGTATTTTCCGTGAAGCAAATAACATTATTTTTATTTCATTACGTAAAGGTTAGGAGGGAAATTGATTGTTCCTAGATCAATTTGAAGATTGTAATTTTTAAGGCGCCGAGAACGTCGGTGCAAAAAGAAAAAAAACCCAACAACTATCAATTAATTACAAATTTGAGTTAACGTTCATAACTTAACTAAAAATACTAGTGGAATTGTTTTTTATTTTATACTCATTTTCCAACACCACTATTCTCCATTAGAATATGAGACTTAACATTCGCAAATTTAACATTCACGATATCTTTTGGGAACGTGGCCGTTGCGAATGTCGATTACTGAACTTTATATAACAAGTAATATAAATACACAATCAAGTAATATACACAATCAAGTAATATAAAAACACATAATTAATTATAATCCAACCAGTGTGTGCATGTGCGTCAAACTCTGTGTTATAAAGTTTTATGGCATGTAGAGGGATAAACAATTATTAGCTTTTTGGCCAGTGAAAATGTAGTGGAAAGTTCATATTACGGGGTTGCACAGGTGTCCTTTGCCCATGGTGCTTGGTAGTTTGGTAACTTCCAATTCCAATTCACAGCTGTTCAACAGATTCATAAGATCTTCCTGCGTCAGAACGTGACATGTCGAATGCCCGTACATTAGGATTTGCAGAGGAGTATGTCCCACAGTAGGTTCATTAATATGAAATTTCCTAACATATATTAATTGCCAAAAGTGATCATTGTTCAACCGATGTTCATGCCCTTACATTTTCTAACATTTATTAGTCACTTGAAAATTTATATATACAGAATATCTCATAATAAATGACATTAACCTCTTGGGTTGTAGGGGTATCAGAGGTAGTAACTTTTTCCAATGAAAATATTTTACACGGGTAACATCCGCGCTGGTAACTCCGTTAGAGTGTGGCAGGTCACGTTCTGATGCCCTCAGATTTGTTTGTACCCACCAAATACTAGAGCACGATGCTTACCCAACAAGGCGGCCAACCAGAGGCAAATGATACGTGTGTAAGTAAGTTATAGTGAATTTACCACCATAAAGTGATTATTACGAGTCCACTTACACGTTATCAAAGTTTGTACCATTTATTAAGACTTTCTAGCTTCCAGCGTACCGATTTCATGTCACTTGAAGTGTAGAGAGTGAGACGAGTAGCAATTGACGGGAAGGGGAGTTTGCCAAGTGAAAGACGAAGCCGCGCAAGAGCGAAGGCGAGCGATGTGTATGGAGACGGAATAGGAGTCGAGCGTCACTGATGATGGGCCTCTTACAACATTACACCCTGGTCCGTTGCCTACATTCGGCAGCGCTTTTAGATGTCTGCTCCGTTGAACGCCACTCGCCTCGGGAGTGGCCTATTGGTGGCTTCGCCCAGCCCTAGCAGGACTAATGTAATGTGTATTTATGCGTAGGCGACGCCCGTGACGAACCGCCTGCAGATCCGCACGGCGCGCCGCGTGCCGCGCCTGGGGCTCATGCTGGTGGGGTGGGGCGGCAACAACGGCTCCACGCTCACCGCCGCCCTCCTCGCCAACAAGCTGCAGCTCTCCTGGGCCACGCGCGCCGGCATGCAGTGCGCCAACTGGTCAGTCGCAACTATCAAAAATAATTAACATTTTTTGCATAGCCTAGCCCGTGAACAGCCGGCAAACACGTGATAAATAACGTACGAACTGAAAAAAAGAGCACGCAGTGCGCGAAACGCCATTTTTCGTCTTTGTTTTCCGTGTGTGAAACAGCTAATTTTTTCACCGTGTGGAATCATCGCGAAGCGTGTGCGAAACATTCTGCTACAATTCGCAATTGTCTTTCGTCTTGACGACGTCTTTGTTAATTATTTACAACATTTATAGTGCTACCACTCTGACTGGAATCCATTTACTTTTGTACAAGGAAGGTATTTCTTCGTAATTATTTGCTATTTAATTTGATTTCCTTTACTTGACGTATTACGACAGTATGAGCGCCAAATTCTCGTAACTTCTCACCACGAATGGCATTCGTTCGACAAGCTGCCCACCAACCTACTTATGTTACTACTATTATTTTATTATATAATAATAATAATAATAATAATAATAATAATAATAATAATAATAATAATAATAATAATCCTTGGAGAAGAGCATCATCATCGGCCTACAGAAGTCTGTTATAATCAGCACCTGCTCACTAGTCTGAAATACCATCAAAGGGTAGAAATGCTAATCAAATTAAATAAAATAGAATGAACTCTCCTGCTGTAGGCTCAGAGACAGTCCATGAGAAACGGACACTTAATTAAATCTCTACAAATCACAACACCATATAATTAGGCTCTTGCTCAGAATTCCATCACTTGTACTCGGTGTCTGTATAGACAATGCTTGTAGTACCTCGTCACTACATCAAGTCATACACAACGGCTCATGACTGAATCATGCTAATACTGATGCCGTATGGAATGGGATATCAGATCCGAAATGTCTGTCGGAAAGTTTGATGCTTCGTTTGCAATCCTTAGAGATACAGAGGATACATATTGATCTTCCTACATAATACGAAACGAAGAGTATGGTAAAAACCCTGCTGTGTTCCTCATATTCGACTAGCGGGTATTGTTGCGTATACGACACTTTAGACATTCACTCGCTCAAAGCTACTACAGAGGGGCTCAAAATATTGCCTGTATATCGTCCCAGGTTTATCGAACATAAAAAGATTACGATCACGATCTCTTGGATTTTATATACAGCACAAGAATAGTTCAACACTAAAAGAAGCATAGGCGCTTGTATCACAAGCCTTTTGCTCTTTTATCTAAGATGCTCGAAAAGAATGGTGTGACCCGACATACCTTAACAAGCTGATGTTTGTTAGGCGTCTTAAATATCTAGGATTTCACGAATGCCCCAGTGTACTCCTCGCATTATCCCAAAAACAGCAAACACGCTAACTCTACACATAGAAAGTCTGTCGCAAGCATTAACTGGTAGCCCGGGCGAAGGAATAAATTGCCTCCCAGGATATTCAAAAACTCCTCTCCATTAAAATCTTTATCAAGAAGGCAACTCTGCATGAATTGTTCTTTACAAAGTAACACTAACAATTTGGCTATGAAAATCACTGTAGAGTTGACGCGGTCAAATAAAAACTATTCCTTAGGATTTTAATAGTTAAATGTTATTAGCGAATAACATTAATGGTTCCTTTCGTGACAAAAGAATGTTCTGGTCCTGTGTGACCTGTTTCTATACTCGCTGCGGAACTGTACTGTTCTCTGTAGGGAGCAGAGGCGGTTTTAAACAATCGAAAACCAGCCCCTATTTGCAGCAATGGAATCCGCGAGGTGAGATACGCATTCCCAAAGACCGCCGTTATCTCATGTTAAGTTCTTGTCCATTGTATTATAGGACACACGTCACTGGGCTCGAGGCGTGGGTTTCCCCCGGCGCTAGCGGGTTTTCCTACCTAGGATCGAAGCGACTGCTGGAGGTGGTCTTACCGTATATAATAGTATCACGAATCTCCAGATCCGAGTCGCTCGTGATCACGCAGGCTGCCGATCGTGTAGCGCGCAGCGATATTCTAAGCACAGTAATCTTATTTAAATTCAAATTGTGTTTGTGCAATTTCAGACTTGTGATATGGTTAAAATTAATATTCGAAATTGATTATTTGCTAAACATATCACTCCGCATTTAATCTCTATGTATTCTCTATTTATAATAGCTTGCCTTTAGAAATAACGTCTTTGCTGTTCCAACTAACTACTTACAACTTTAGATTACATTAAATTTAAATTTAAATAACACTTGCTTTTTTAATTTTAACTACTTAAAATACATTACTTCTGTGATATTGTGACATCGTGAGTCAGGCAAGAAGAGGGGGGCCTGATGGCCGAGCCGTTCGCCCATAAGTTAATAAATAAGAGCGTATATTAGGTTATTTGTGGGAATTTTGAGTGTGGGTTATTAGTCTCAGAAGGGTCGTTGTCGTGATTTAGTATGTTGTCAGGCAGTGGATGTATTTCGACAAAGATACAACATCAGAGCATGGTAACACAGGACATACTTTAAAATCTGACAAAAATAAATTAAGGAATTCTAACACCACTAAACATACAATAACTTGTTTTCAGTATCTGTAACACATAGAAATAGATAGTTTCTCAAAATGCTAATAACAATACAATTTCAAGAATGATGCTTTCAAAGGACCAGCAGTCCTCCATAATCTCCTGACTAGT